TCCGAGGTCGGGTCACTAATTTGTCGTATCGCAGAAACGCGATTTCTCCTCTCGCCCTAGCCGCTCTTAACATCGGCATCAACTCTCTTCTACTCTTCCTGACAGACTCGGGGTAATCTTCGTTGATGTAAATATTAGTTCCCTTAAGCTTCTTCGCTTGCTGCAGAATGTTTGCCTTATCTTTCTCTTTCATCAACTTGACCATCACCGCCCTCGGTCCACGATCAGAAAGTTTCCTGACTCTGTAAACCCGTTCCATCTCTATTTCTTGATGAATTTGCAGTTTGTCCTTTAAAATCTCCTTCACCTTCCATTCCGCTTCCGTCCAGCTTTCTCCAGCTGTCTCCTTGATTCCCTCGAAGATCAGGTTTTTTTGCTTGGACTGTGCTTCCAATTGCTCCATTTTATACGTTATAGTTATTAGACTCTCACAAGTTTTGTAGACGTCCTGCCTTGTGTCTTTGGCATGTATTTCCTGCTCACCCACGGCTGTTTTAATCACATCCACATCTCGCTGGGTAAACTGCAAACTCGTTTTTATCTCCTGTATTTCTTTGGTCATGTCATCAAGTCTCTTGTTGTTTGTCTCCATAATTAGTTTCACAAAGCCTTGGAAGCTTTCTTGCTGTTGGCACATTAGTGTGGTGTACATCAGCTTCTGCTGATTCAACATCTCACCTACTTGCGCCGCTGAAATATAATCCTCTTCCGCCTCAACATCCTCGTTCGCTTCTGGTTTATTAGCTCTTTTCCCTTTTGGAGGCATTTTAATAGTTGTAGAATGAAAATGTAGAAGATGTGAAAAATCGTAGAACAGACAAGAGGAGCAGTACAGACGTCTGCTCTCGCTTGCAACTTTAGATGAATGTACAGTTTAGCCCAAGCTCTTTAGTTAATATGCTTTTGAAATATGGGTGAATCAAAGTTCTAAAGAATGTTTCACCAACATATAGTAACACTTGGTAAAAACTGAATTTGCTTAAAGAACTAAGGGAGTAAAATAAAACCTCTGTGACTTTGTGTGGTTCATCTGGGAACAACATGGACATGAGGTAAAGACATACTCATCATCATCCCAGCCTGGGGGCTGATGGGTTCTCCAGATGAGTTAAGAAACTACACTCACCACACCAACGATAAACTAATATCAAATAAATGAGGATGGTCGGCTAGGTGTGATAGATGCTCCCTGTGATCAGTGAGAGAACACTAATGGTCACAAATCAATAAAGGCAAGCAGCAATGAAAATAATGATGTTGATTTACATTGATGGCTTCTATTTTCCAGACTTTGAACATGTTAGACTTCAGAGCAGAGCGAGGAGCCCCTTTTAAAGTCAATCTGTGGGGGTGGGTGTTGAAAATGGAACAGGTGTATTGTGGCTATACTACCCACCCTCCATAACAGTCTACCATTTATAGCTCTTCTGTTGTTATGAAAGCTTCTCTTCCCTATGTTGTCAAAATCAGGTCTGTGAATCAGGCTGACCTGCCACATAGCAAAGGTTATAAGAAGCGTTTAAAACACTGGTTGCCAGACCACTTGTTTTGAGTCTCAGTAGACCCTCTAAGCACCTGAAAAGGAATTAGGTAGAGTAGCTTTAAACAGGTCATTATGTACAGGAAGGTCCACTTTGTACATTGCCCCTCTTAATGAACAAGTGTTCAGTCAAGCTTTTCTGAACTAGGTTTAACTAACTGAATGTTGTGAGATACAAGGCAGATAGTTAGGGGATCCCTGCATAAGTAAAAAAACAATGTCTTCATTAACCTTTAAACATCTTTTCTAAACTTTCAGTGCTCAAACAATATTTGGAAAGAAAGATACTCTATATTATATACTACATATTCTGTGTTTGTCTCAGTTACTGTACATGAAAACCAATATGAGTTGACAGTTGAGAAGCAGGCAGCAAACCAGGAACAGGCATAAGCAAATTAAATCATACTATACAGGGTATGGTCTGCAAAAAACAAAATGCTTTCACTTAAATCTTGGCAGTCAGTGTAATCTAGCATTAAATGTTTTTTTTTCTATAAAATTTGTACCTGCAATGGAAATAACTGTGTGACACCAGCCTGTGCATATTTTACCAGGAGTAAGCAAAAAAAAAAAAAAAAAAAAAAAAGCAAACAAAGTGGATCCAGAAATCCCAGCTAAGATTCTCACAGCTGCTATATAACAGTTATTTGCATTCTTATTAATTTCTGCACTCTGAAGAGAAAATGAAAAGTTGTTTTCATTTTCTCCACAATCTCCTGCCATGTGCCATCTTTTACAAAGCTGTAACCTTACTGCCCCCAGCAAGTATTTATTTATTCCCATGACATCAAGTTATCACCTCAATTTATATCATTTCTATTGTATTTATCCATTTCCTTCTATGCCATTTCAGCCTGAAAGATGAATGGCTGTACTTTGATATAATATTGCACATCATACAAGGATTTCATTAAGTCATTATATAATATTACATTTGTGAGGACTGGAATTTAGCAAAAGACATATTTAATAAACAATTTAGTCAAGTTATGGATTTTCTAATATTCAAATAGTCATACATTTTTAAAAAATCCAATATTTAATGCGACTATGGTTTTATCTTTAACCACTGTTTTCACTTGCTTATACCAGCACCTGGAAATAATGCGATAACAAGGTTAGTATTTCATTTTACTTCAGTGCCAAATACAAACAGTAGAAACATGCAGAGACTACAGCCATCAAGCAGTCACGACACGATAAACTGTATGGTGATAGTGCATGTGAGCTGTGCAGTCGTTTCACAAGAGACTAAAGCAAAGCCAGAGTGGCGTAATGCTGAAAACCTGGCAAATGTGCTTTCCACCGCTGCAGAACACTGGGGACTTAGAGGTAAAGAAAGTCATAGCATGTGTATATGACAACACTAGCATTATAGAGCTAGTCAACACGGAGTGGTTGGGCTGGGATTCTCAATGAAAATGCCCATATATGCCCATTATAGATGCACGGTATGTTAATTTTAAACACTGGAACTACCTTCTAGTCAAGAAGAAGTTAGTACATATGTAAAGTACTAAAAATTACAACAAGCAATTAATTGCTTCTTTATAAATCAAGGTTTTAAAATTTTACTTTTACAGTGCAATTATATGTAGCTTAGAATTAGGAAAGGCATTACTTTAAAACCAAACAAACTTTTAAGTGATTATCTAATTTCTGTTCATTTCTTTAAGTGTCTCTCAGATATTGTGGCCAGTGTTGAAGCTGTCTGCATCAGCGTTTGGTTGTCCATCTGAGAACAGACTCAGGACAGTTGAAGAGACCTGGGTGCACACAGGGAGGTTCACTCAGCTGATGGCACATCCAAGAGAGCCGTGTACGGCCCTGATGCGCTGGTCCAGCTCAGATAGCTCTGCGTCAGCCTGTCCTCCTCCACTGGTCACCATCTCTCGTGCGTTTGTTTTGCTCGCTCAGATTTGAGATCAAACCAACTTTTTAACTCAATTGTGTGCCCTTCTCCTTAGACAGTGTTGACTGAACAAGTAAGATCATCCCATGCATCTGTTTTTGCTTTATTTTATATCCATTACTGACACTATTAAATATGGCAGCTCTCCACTTTCTGTACCGGAAACTAATTCCTTTTGTGCAACATACTTGGCCAATAAAGGTGATTATCCTTATCTTTTATGGGAAATGGCAGGGTGTTAACCCAGCCGGTACCGGTCCGCAAAGAAAAAAATTTCGTGGTTAAAATTATAATTATTTTTCTTTCATTAGTCTTAGTTTGGAAAAACGACTGTTTCTGCCCTTGCCTCACTACCGCACTTGACTCTGGCACGCCATTTTACACATCAGCGACACAAGCTAATCATTTTAAAAAAAAATGAGCCAAAAACAAAATTCACTGGAGAGCTTTTTGGGGAAGGAACGAGCAAACGATGGGACAGCAGAAGGGTCACAGACAGCCAGCAAAAAGAAAGCTGCATTTAAAAGAAAATACCACGATTCCTACCCAAGTTCCTACCTAATTGTTGCATTCAGAGTACATACTATGAACTGACAAAGGTTTTTGTTATTGGAACCCCCGCGCCTCTACCCAGTCCACAGAAACATTTTCATGCATGAAACCGGTCCCTGGTACAAAAAAGGTTGGGGACCGCTGTGTTAACCTATGCTAATTATGAACAACTGGCACGCGAACACATGGGATTAATCAATTTAAGAACACAGGTGCAAACAATTCTGCAGTTTAAGAACACATTCATGAATCAGACAAACTTTTCTTAGGACCTTTTTTTAAGAACAATTTATGAAGAAATTTAAGAAAACAGTTAGGTATATGTTGGTGAATGTGGCCCATTGTTGACATTTTTCAGTGCTTCACGGTGCACCAACACCACTAAAGTCAAGTCCTTTGTACTGCTCTAGTAGTAGAAGTTCCAGAGTTATATATCGTAATCTCTTTATATAGCTGAAACGAACTACATGCCCAGACACCACCATGGCTAATTGAGCAAGTGTGAAAATGAGTTCTTTGTATTTTGATGTAACTGATTCTTTAAGTCAATACTACCAGAGTAAACCTCCCTGGCAGACTGCCAATTTATGCAATAGGAAAAGAAATAAGATCTAATATTGTGTTGTTAGAACAAAGGTTTCTGGGGAAATGCAATATAAAACTATCTACTGCTATCTCTTGATAGCCAAGCTAATCCTGTATCCTCTTCATCACAAAGGCACCCATTTCTTACCTTCCCATCATAACGCTTCATAATGAACTGATCCAGGCCCAGATCTGACAAAGAGACAGAGAAAGAAAATGAACAGAGATATGCAGATTAGCAGATAAATACTGTAACAAATCAGATGAGATGCAGACTAGTTACACACAAGGGCATTTAGATTTATGCCTTGCACAAAGCAGAGTCAGTGTATTTACTTGGTGTCATTAGTGATCCTCTGGTAATCACTGACATGTGCTAGAGATTAATAATAGTCATTAACCAGCCATTTCCACTTTGCCAATTAATGAAAATAAACAATCATCAGCATTCAGCTGTAAATCTCCTGATCATCAGTTATAACAAATTTCTCAGCCAGGGTTTATTTTATACATCCAGGGCAGCAGCACAAAGCAAGAGGAACAGTAAACAGTGCTAAAATGTATCAAATTGATTATTTAAATGAGCATCACAACATTTCTGTGTTATGCGTTTCTATGCAGAAGTCAGTAATTCATCCATCCATCCATTATGTATACCGCTTATTCCTGAATAGGGTCGCAGGGGGCTCAAGCCAATCCCAGGTGATGATGGGTGAGAGGCAGGGTACACCCTGGACAGGTTGCCAGTCTATCACAGGGCTGACACTTGGAGATAGACAACCACACTCACTCCTACGGGCAATTTGGAGTCACCAATCAACCTAAGCTGCATGTCTTTGGACTGTGGGATGAAGCCAAAGTAACAGGAGAGAACCCACACAGGCACAGGAAGAACATGCAAACTCCACATAGAAAGGCCCCAGTGACTGGTTGTTACGTTTTAAATCAACAAGGGAATCTGTCAGTTAACCTCAGCTGGGTTGGAGGCTTTAAGAAGAGAGTGAAATGGCTGCCTATAAAGCAAACTCCAGCTTCTCGTGGCTTTTTCATCTACTTTGCTGAACTCTCTCTTATCCAACAGAGCTCAGCTCATCATTGCTTTAATTCCACTTGGGAAGGGCAAAAAACTGGATAAAGAGAGGAAGAGCTAGGGATTCATGAAGTGGGGAAGAGAGGTACTGGGTCTAAGAATGGAAGGCCAACGGGGCCAAGCTGGATAACAGACTGAAGTGCTGAGGTAAGCAGGAAAGGCAGGACAGATGCAACAGGCCCAGCTAAGACTTTATTAAGTGCTAATTGTAGGCCTGCCTGTTTAACTGTTGATGAAATGTCAGGATGTAATGGTCATCACCCACAAGTCTGACTGCGGTTAACATACTCCCACAAATAAAATATCACATAAATCTAACTGAATTTTGCTATGGATTATTCTGTCAGATAAGCCAAGTGTGGTGCGGAGACATGTGTATGCCAAGTTAAGCTCCCTGCCTTTCTAACCCCCTTCGTAGCTGAAGATCAAATATCTCTCATTGGCTCCATGCGTGATGCCTGATATATGCTCTGGTCTGAACCTGTTAATTGATACACTGCTGTGTTTTAATTCCCTCAGCTCAGTGTGATCGGGCAGCCTCGTCACTCTCCCCCTTCCCCGACTCCCTTCATGCTACATGTGAACACATTCAGTAGGATAGTTATACCTCTGGAGGTGGGAGGTCTGTGGAGTGATATGATCTAAGCACTGCTAACTGAAAGCATCTCACAAGATTGTGAGGGTGTGTCTGGGGACGAAAGAATGGACAATATTTACTGTTCTGTCACCACAGCCAGACACAAAGAACAACAAGCAGTAGGAAAAATAGAAGAGAATAGGAGGTAAGGATGGGCATTTCAAGCTAAAAGGCTATTTGATAGGAAACTATTCGATATTTATTCGAAGATTATGCTGAGAGTCCCAGTCCGTGCTGGCTAGCTCCATATTGCTAAAGTTGTCATACACGCATGCTGTGACTTTAACTCCCAGTGTCCCCAGTGTTCTGCAGTGGTGGAAAGCACATTCGCCAGGTTTTCAGCAGTATGCTACTCCGGCGTTGCTTTAGTCTGAAGAACAGCACTCTGTATTTTCCAGCTACTTATATACTTATAATAGCAGGTGACTGTCATATATGATTCAGTTGTAAGCACTGTCCATGCATCAGTGGTCAGAGACACTGTTTTAACACTTGTCAAACAACTGCATAAAACACATGCATTATCATCATACAGTTTATCCTGTCGTGCCATGACCGTTTTTCTTGATGGTTGTTGTCCAGGGGTGCCCAATACATCGACCGCAAAGGTAGTGTTGGTAGATTGCATGTCAATATGATCAGCTTAGTAAATGCTTTCAAATGGAAAATGCAACATCTCTCCTCAAAGCTGCAGTGCCATTTTTTGGGGAACTTCCAAAACCTTGCATCAGAGATGGAGATGCAACGAAAGGCATGTGCGCAACTTAACATTGAGCACTACACAGAGCAGATTGACAATTGTCGGTCAGACTTTGACAAACGCTTTCAAGACTTTGTTTCACTCGAGCCAGTTGCTACATTTATGTGCTACCCATTTAGGGAAGATATTGAGGTTGATTCACGCGCATCAAAAATTGCAACAGTGTTTCACCTGAACTGGTCTGGAGTGGAGGATGAGATATTGACACTACAGGCTGACATTCAGCTGAAATCCAGGGCTAATGGACCATTTTGGAACTTAGAGGAAAAGTACCCAAACATGAGGAAACATGCCACCTCCTTGGCTGCATTATTTGGCTCTACTTATTTATGCAAGTCAGAATTTTCCCACATGAAGTTTATCAAGTCCAAATACCGCTCCACCATGACTGATGATCATTTGGAAGTCAGCTTGAGGCTGGCTACCAGCACCTACTGTCCGGACTATGCAGCCCAGACCGATTCCATTCAGTGCAAGTCACCAGAGTTAAGTAATGACCAAAAATCTACTGAATTGTAGTGTGCCTTAAAGGTTCATGCAGTTATGCAAGGTGTGCCAACGTGTATTGTGTTTACATAAAATATACTCAGTGTATATATAAATAAACATATGTTTGGTATTTTTACTGTAGGTAGATCATTTTGACTTGGTCATTTGAAAAGTAGCTTCCAAGGTGAAAATGTGTGGGTGCCCCTGTTGTTGTCTCTGCATGTTACTGCTGTGGTAAAATATACTGACTTCTATCGTGTCATTTCCAGGAGCCGATAAAAGCAAGAGAAAACAGTGACTCATTGTTCTTAAATATAAAACCATAATCCCATGAAACTTTTTTCCAAATTTAGTGACTTTTCAAATAATCAAAAAAATCACTGCCCATTCCTAACAGGAGCGTGACAATGGGAGTCAGAATGAAGAAACTGTAGATAAAGGCTAAGCAATGATGGTGGAAGGAATGAGAGGAAACTCACTTTCAGGCTGCTTCTCGTTAGGTGTGATTGAGCGTATGAAGTCCTGGGGCGTCATGTAGACCTCAGCATCTCCATGCTCGCCGATGACCTTCAGCGTGGCAAAGTAGCGGAAAATCTTGTCTGGCGTTGAGTAAGCCCTTATTCGGTTCTCGTACTCCATCACCTGCCAAGCAGACAGGAAGCACAATTAATATCACAAAGTTGCACACATTAAGCATGAGCACCACTCTGATATTTATCTAAAACATCAAATTGATGAAAGAACCAGTAATATTTTAGTCCGGTGTCTAGCAAGGTAAATAATCTGAGGGAGAGTTAAGAGAGTGCACAGGGGGTGAAGGAGTGATGAGAATAAAGAAGCAAGAGGCAGCAGGAAAACAAGTTGTCACTGCTGATGAAGAAGTGTATTAACCTCCTGACTCAACCATCAGATTAGCAAAATAGGAAAAAAAGTGTTTTCAGGGTCAGTCTGACTGACATTTTCACATAAAAAAAATACTGCAGGACTAAAACAGCTACACAGAGCTGTGACGGTGACAAATAAGACATACTGGGGTATCAACATAAGAGATACTATATATATGTATGTATGTATTCAACTCTGACACATTAATCTTGTCAATGTTTGTTTTGACACTACCATCCAGTTTTTAGCAGAACATTTAGAATTGATGCAGCATAACTTTAAAACTGACAACAGTGTTTGTTTGGGAGCTGTGCTCAGCTATAATCTACATAAGCGGTTATGTTATATGACACTGAATGACCACATACACTACACAAGTTGGCTCTGTAAAAAACGAAACAACACATTTTACAGCATCACCTTTTTGAGGCTGTTGGCCACTTAGATTTGGTAACAGAGTGAGTGAGAGAAAGACCTTACTGGTCTTTAAGAAAATCATCAGGAGCGTGTCTCCCAGAAGAGCCAAATATCAGAGTACAGATTAAAGTTTATGGCACAGTCAAGTGGAGCAGCTGGGGGGCATGACGGACAGAGAGCCCGGAATATACCGTCATCTCTCTCTGGCTTTACAGACTACTGATCTCATCTCCCACACTGATGAGGCTTTTGAGCTTTCAGCCATTTATGTTCTCCCTTTCAAATACAAAAATTCAATACATGCAACCAGAAAGGTGAAAGTCAGGCAACACCAATTACTTATTCACGACTTCTCCAGATTTTCAAAGTTTTGCAAAATCAAAAACAAGAGTGGTAAATCTGTTTAAAAGGATATAGGTGACAGTGCTGAATTTTAACACACAAAGTGAAAATTAATTTTGCATTTAATTTAATTATTCAGAAACCCCCTATCATCTTTAAATATAAGAAAGACAAAATACATGGAAGGACCAAAAACTCCAAAAAATGTTCCATAGACAAATTATGTTTAATGTGCAAGTCTTTCCCACAATACACTGAGAAATTCAACAACATTCGACCATGTCCAGGTCAGCCTCAGGTTAAAGCAATGATCCACATGCACGGACTTTAGCACACATATGGCAAACCTAGAGTCTTTACCTGACATGGTGAATGAACTAATGCAAACAACAACCACTGCCACAAACACACAACACAGGTTAGACTATGGTTTCAGGCTGTGTCTGCAGCTGCTGCTCAGGCCAGAATGATTGTGCAATTTTTACATCTAGACCGCTAAATCAGATGCATCATTGCACTGGATCTAATTTGGAAAATAAAATATCCTGGATCCCAAACGATAATATGCAGAGCTACAAACCATGCTTATTTTACACTGACCCTTCATTCTTCTTCTGTCTAGCCTTTGTCATCTGCTGCTTAATTAACAGCAATAAAATCCTGCATTTCTGTTGTTTATCACAACAGAAATGCAAACTGATCACCCTTCAGTGTCTGTAAACTATTATGTCAAAATATACTGGAGTTTGTTTTCAAAACACCATTCTTGAGGTGAATTAAGCAGAAAACAATAGCTGATTGTTTACTGTTTATTGATTACCTTGCGGTCACGGAATCCAGCGCGTGGCTTCTTTTTTTTCCCCTTTCCACCTTCATCCTTTGCTTCTTCATCTCCACTGCTGGCCTCCACTGATTTCTCTGACTCTGTCTCAGAGTCTGTATCCCCCACAAAATCAGCTTCTTCTTCACTCCGTCGCTCAGAATGCTGAACGGAAGGGCCTGCCTCTGCATATGCTCTAGGTTTCAACAAAGAAACATTTAAAAACAGATTAACAGAGAAGGGCTCTATGTTATCTCTTAGGAAGCTAAGCACAGCAATACCATTCTGAGTTTTGATCTAGTACCAAGTCTACCCAGGTAAGGCTGTAGGCAAAATGAGCAAATTGTTGTGCTGTCTGTGCAATGCAGAGAGGTTGTTGATGGCAAACTCCCAGTTGACTATTTTTCTGGCAAATCTGAAAATTATAATAATGCATATCTGGGTCTGTCTGGGGCAGGCTCAATAGTTCACTATAATGAGGCAAGAAGAATGAAGGCTTGGGTGAAGGCCTGGAACAGTCTCAAATGCCCTAAGGCACCATCCATCACTCTGCCTGCTGCAGCACACTCATTCTGTCCCCACAGGTCTCACATCAAAATTCTACCACTTTGCCTTAATTAAACACAAGCCTCCTTAGTAATGGAAAGCCATAAAAACACTGTAATACCATGGTAGCTTGAAATGACAGCAGATATGCAGGTAAGCAACTTCTTAGTGTGGTTTACCCAACAGTTATGTAAAGTTGGGGAACTGAATCTGGCATGTGCTCGGTTGACCTGCTGCTGAATATCACGCTGCAAGCTAATCATAGTTTACTCAATGTAGATCAAGGTCTGTTCATTTAATGGGGACCACACCAAACAGAGAAGCCTTCAAGCCACTGTATAAGACACAGGTCGACACAGTGCCAAGAGTGGTGTATCGCTCAAAAGGAACCTCTCTGCCATCAAAAGATGTGAGAAATGGAAACAATCATTTGACACTGTTACAAGCAATACTGTTTAAAGGGGAACAGGTTTATGTGAAAATGTGAAAGATTTTGACGGTCACATACATAATGTTTTAGAATCTTTTTTTTTTTTTAAGACTTGACCAATTTGTGGTTATTTTACATGTATGAAGGTATTCTTTGTGTGTTTTTATGCGTACAAACCAGTATGACTCACACTGCCCTTTAAAGAACAAAATATTTCTAAATTGAACTAAAGTATCAAATCAGAGAGCCATCAGTCTTTTCTCAGTAGTACATACTGTAGATGCACACAGGTGTATTCATGAGCCGAGTCCTACCTTTTCCAGAGTAGCCCCGCACTAGCAGACAAACCAGTCACCCCAGCCAGAGCTGCCAGGATCAGCCTCCTCTGGCCAGACCCTCGCACTGCCCTGCTGTGGTAATGGTGAGACAGCTGCACTAGCCCCACCGAAACTGCAGACAATGCCCGCAAGCGGAACATCCTGTAGAGAGAAACGAGAAAAGATGTGATGAAAAAGAGACAGCTGACAATGTGCAAAGATTAGAAATGCTCTATGATTTTATTTGGGGGTATTTGTCCACTGTGTAAAGACAAAATAAAAATAATAATTGGAAGAGAGCTTCTTTCATTCTTAAAAATAGTGATAAATGAGATGATCAAACTGTTCATTGATACATCATCTAAACATCACTTTGAAATGGGCATAAAGCTAGAATGTGACCAAAAAGCTAACTAACACTCTCTAAGCGGCAAAACTTGGAACATTAGCAGTTGACTCTGGGGGCCCTGTCTTCACACTGTGCTCCAGGCAAACCCGCACCTTCAACATTTCATGCATAAATGTCTTGGAATATGCAAAGACTTCAATTAAAAAATAAACTTGACAAAGCAAGGATAACACTAATTGCTGCCAGTGTAGCTAAGCTCCAGAACTGCATTTTCAGTCAGACTGTTTATTCATCAGTGTCACAGAAGGATGATTAAGTAAGGGGCTACTGTTGTGTATCTGTAGCTCCCATGTGTGTGCTTTTCAAACTGCGGGACAGAGAGGTTCACCCCACTGAGGCCTGGAGCTGCCACCTGTCCGTATCCTATTAACAATTCAAATACTGACTGTCAAACTGATTCAGCAGAAAGAAAAAGGAAGACATGGTATATGCTAACACGAGTATTTAGGAGTCTGTGCCCATGGGGACTGAGGGGAACAGAAAGCACACAGGCACATCATATCTGTGGAATTAGACAGTGTGATGCTAAAAGACCAGTACCAAAAATCTACACACATATGCCAGAAAAACCTCAATAATACCTAAACTTTACCCTAAGCACAGATTTACTTTTCCTGATCTCTTTGAGTCCAAGCCAGCAGTTTAGGACCGCCCATTTAGTCTAGTGTAATTAATGTCCACCTGGGCCTCTGGAATATGCCTGTTGAGTTGAAAATAATTATTTTCCAACTGAGAGTTAGCCATGATCTGTAAAATCCCCAGCTGTTTAGTCAGGAAGAGGACACATTCAAAAGTGAAAGCTATGGTGAATGAAAAGCAGTGAGCCACACTCCAGCTACAATCATCTGTACTATCCATTCTTGCAGCATCACCTTTATATTATAAATGTGTGCAAATATGATTAACCCACTACCTTTGGGAGAGACACCTCTTTTGAATACTCTGCATTTAAAAATACAAATCGCTGATATACAGCAGACCTGAGAGCTCAACACAATACAACATAAGAAAACAAGCAAATAGACAAAACAAGCAAATAAAAAAACATGTCCACCTATCTGACCATACATTTCAAAATGTATGGTCGGCAGCAAAATAAGAAAACACAACCAAAGACTGAAATGAGAAAAAAAATACAAAAAGGTGCTGCAAATATAGAAAATTCCAACAAAATGGCTGCAGAAACATTGGTTAAAATATCTGAATCATGTGGTCAGAATGTTTAAAAAAAAAAGTGTATAGGCTAGCTCATTTTACAGCACCCCTGATGGATGGTCGAATTCAATTCCACGAGTCACCACGGCAACAAGAAGTATCCCCATGTCGGTGTCGATCACTTTTTAGTGTCACCTAGAAACATTTCTGCTGTTGTCTCTGCTATCTGCAGCACTGCTGTATTTGGTTGTTTTGTTACTTTGAAGCATTTCTTCCTAAATGAAGTGCTGGTGTTGTCAAAATGGTGAAATATTTGTTAATTTCTATGTTTTATCTAGATGAATGTGTTGTCTTAAGGTGGTGTGTTGAGTAATCAGGGCCACCATGGCTGTTAACTCTTACAGTACATCAAACCCCAGCCAAGTAGAACTTTGCTTTAAATCCACTGCTGCCTTCCTGATAGTATAAATCGCGGATGTTTGTTTTGCATATGCATGTCTATTATTGATTCTGTGAACCAAGTGTTTTAGATACTGTATATACAGTATTTTCCTCCTTTTAAAAGCGTGCAGTTCAGCCAGGTCCCAAAGCAGAATCCACAATCGCATTCAGCACTTTAAATCTGGAGGCAACGTACACTGGGACCTGGAGCGAACTTCAATATCGCTCTTGGTCATCTATATCCCTCAGTGATATTGTATATATGCTGTGTGAACTTGGCATTTGAATTATCCCATCATAAAAAAAAAAGCGGAGGGAAGGAGTGGGCAGTGTCACCTCAACAGCCTGTGGCTATGATGTTTTATGCTCTCAGTTGAGACTAGTGATGCAGTCTTCTGAAACAGCAGTAAACTCTGTAGTTCCTCTGTTGCTCAGGGATGTTTTCTGCTTCCAAGCACCAGAAGCACAGATGAAGAAAAGTTTACATATCAACCTCCTATCCTCACCGTCTCATGAAAGCAACATTCACCAATTAGGGAACTCAGACATTTTAAGCAGGCCTGTAACTTGCTTATGACGTATGGCAACTTTTTTTATGATTTGATTCGTTAGATAAAGTATGTAAGCACTGTTTAACTACTTTTAGGAATTATTAACTGAAGGCTTATCAGAATTAGTGTTGTCAAAAATATCGATATTGATTCTGAAATCTTGGAAAAGTTTCAGTACTCATTTTCTGTAGTACCGATACACCAATAGTAGCTGCACTTTCTCATTCTCTCTTCTCTCTGACAGTGAGTTTACACACACACAGACATTGCAGCAGCGCCCACAGTCCTACCTCTCTCTCTCAGTCACAGTGCTATCTGGCTCATCTGCTCTGGTTGAATATTACACTAACAACAGTCCATAGTATATTGCAGGTTTTGCTATAATGTTAGCTCATCACAGACAAAAGCAGAACCTCCACAGCCAGTTTTGATTGACAAAGAAAACGGCACTGCTGTTTAGCAATGCTACAGAGCAGTGCTAAAATAGATGCCAATACTAGTACTGGTACTGACACACAATGCACATTCTAGTGCACAGAATTTGTTTCCAAACACATTGACAACATGGATGGTTCACAGAAACACTGTTCAGTCTCGACTAGAAACCCTCTTTACAAAAGACAAGTGACAGAATGAAACTCAGATAATCTAGACTGGCAAACATAGGGCGTAATCTCTATGTGGGACCGTGGAGACAAACATGAGATGCATCAATCAGCAGCAGAAACAGACTTTACATTAGACATGCAGTAAGTGACGCTGCGATGTAAACAGACTGTTTTATCTGTGAGTGATGAGCTGTAGGCCCACATGGCACAAGCAGGGCACAGGATGGCCAAACGTTGGCACATGCTGACCAGTTTGGAATGAGTGGGGGGGACTTGTCCAATTTTCATGTTTTGGAGATTATGCCCTAGGTCTACAGTCATTCTGCTGTTCTCTGCTAAGAGCCAATAAAGGAAAGTCATATATGCCCTAGGTCTACAGTCATTCTGCTGCTCTATGCTACCAGCCAAGAAAAGAAAGTTGGACCTCGTTGTCATGTTATAGCCTTATCTTTTAGATAAAACTAAAAATATTAGGCCCTTAATCGGGTGTCAATTTTCCCTGGCATATCATAAATCTACATTTTTCAAGGTAACATATCGAAATTAAAAATTCCAGAACAGTGACAACACTGCTCAGTTTACTAAATGATTCTTGTAAAGTGTGACCTGGGTCATATGTGATGGTCTCCTGATGGGTTGTGGTGGTATATACAGCATTATATTTCAAATATAAATATGAATTTATTCATTTTAAAGAATATTTAATAAATCAGTGCAGAAAATATTAAGGCTACAGCTTTTCAGTTTCAGCCAGTGCTGATTATGGCATTTCTGTTAAAAAAAATTCAGTTAACTAGCGTCAGACTGGATAAAATGTTATCTAACCCAAACTCTGTTTTTAAATCATAAAATCAATTAGACTCTGTTCTGTTTGAAAAATGATGTATATATGTATGTAGCATAAAGCATCCTGGTCCTTTGCAAGGTCCCAAGTATGTGTTAAGTTTCAAAATTCCTGTTCCTTGTTTTTTGACTTATCTACAATGTTACAACGGTGAATTACCATCTTAGACGTGACCTAAAGCTCAAAAAATGAGGTGTCCGCATGTTCTATCATTTCTATGCAAAAGTAACTGTTTATACACGTTTTGCAAACTCTCGCTCATGAGACTTTTTTCTACCAAAATAAAAGTATTATGTTATATTTTCAAGGAACTCCTTGAATGGGCATAAATCCAGGCCGTTGCGTATTCATGTGAGATTGCCTCACATTCACCGGTGCCATTGTAAAAGTGGAATTTTTCGACTGTGCCTGGTTTTATGGATATATTTTACCTCCTGCTGCTGCACTGTGACCAGAGGATGTAGAGAAAAATACAGGTATATTCATTTGTAATTTGTGGCATTCATGTGGAGGGCAAAGTAAGAATTTCATTGTACAGGGAAACACGTTTCCTAACTGTGCATATGACAAATAAACACTTTGACCTTTGACCTAATGCGTGTCTGTGAATGTTCCTGTACAGGGACTCGCTGTTTTACCTGACCGGGTCTAACCTACAAGCACTGGCCTGTGAAGACCCCTTTGGCGGTGACTAGTCAGCTCATCAACACTGGATTCCCCCGGAGCACAGTACCTGTTTGTTTCGCCTGCTTGAGGCCAATGTGTCTGCTGCATGTGATGTGTTGCTAATTGTCTAATGTCTGCATTATGCCAGTTACAATATGGGGTTTCTCAATTACCGGGTTTGTTTAGAGTGTTATACATCTCTTT